TGGCTGAGCAGCCTTTCCTTTGTGCCCTGAATTTCTGTCTTGGGGTGAGGAATGCCCAGCTCTGCCAGGGAGAGGCTCAAGATCTAACACCTCGTGGTTTTTGAAGGGTAAGAGCTGCAGTTTTGCTCTGCTACAAAAAATTAAACTGTACAGGGGAAAAGAGTGTTTGATTTTGTGTCTGAGGGGGGTTCAAACCCGAGATTAAAGTGAGATTAGCACAGCAGATTGAGGTGCTCTGAACTCTGTTTTAGGGGCTTGGGGACTGTGTTGGGACCCTGAGGAGCCAGGCTTTTTGCAGCAGGGTATTTCCAACCCAGCCTCAGCTACGTATTCCCAGATTCTGTTGTATTCTAGAAATTATTTTGCTGTAAGGTGTGTCTGAGAGTGCAAGCTGTATGGGGGAGGCTGGTGGCACTTGAGGGGCCTTGCCAGGTGTGACTTCTCCTGCTGAGAGCAGGCCAGGGCAGTGCCAGCTGTGACTCAGTGCCCACCCCCAGGGAGTCAGTCGGAGCACGTGGCTGGAGACAAAATCTCCTCTCTCCCACGGCTGCTTGGCAGTGCCTGGTTTTTGCTGTGCACATGGCTGTGTACAGACAGGGTGTCTTACCAGGGCAGGTTGGAGCTGTGTTTGGGGTTTAACCCCTCCGAAAGAGCACAGGTTGAGCCCCTGGCAGGAGTGTGAGGTCTGCAATGCTGCCTCCATCTCTCAGAGAATAAAATGTCTGCCACGTCCATCCCAGGAGCTCTTTGGGGACAGGATGTGTGTGGCTTGCAGAGGTGACGCTCGGCTCAGAGCTTGTCATCTGCAGAGGTTGTGGTGTAGGAAAAGACCATGTATGTCCTGTTCCTGGGCTCCTTCTGGTGGGGAGGCTGAAGTGCTGTGTCACCTCTGTGGGCAGCATGGCTGGGCAGCCTCTGGAAAGGACTCTGGCAATGGTGTCACACCTCTGTGCAGCTGCTGGCCCAGGGTCTGCATCCCAGAGCCCTTCCCTTTGCAAATGGAGGACAAAGCTGCCTTTACTGGGCTACAGGAACCTATCCTGTTCCCACACCTCACCTTGGTGCCAGGTATGACCCAAGCTCTGAGTGTGGATGCCTTGCCCAGCCTGGAGAGAGGGAACGTGGCTTGGTGGCACTGGGAGTGAGAAGGAGGGTCCTGGCCGTGCTCTGGGGGCTGTGGGGGTGGTGGGTACAGATTTTTGGTCACTGTCAGCACCAGCTGGACCAGTGAGGAGCATGCTGGGGCTCCGAGCAGCTGCAGGAATTGCCGCAGCCATGGAGCAGAGCTTGGCTGGCAGATCTCCCCGCGTGGCAGCGATTTGAGGCTGCTGCCACTGCTAAAATACTTCCAGCATCTGACACTCTCCATAACAAGATTCAAAGGGCTTGTTTGAGAGGGAAATGTTTAATCCAGGGATGGGGGGAGGGACGTGGAGAGTAACAAACAACAGATTGGGAAAAGGATTCATAAATATCTCATCAGAGTGAAGTGGGTCACCAGTGTTCGCTGTGACTTGGTGCTGCTGTCTCTGAGGGTTGGACTTGGGAGGGCTGGGGAGCACAGCAGGCTCCTGTACAGTCTGTCCCTGGCTGTGCAGCACTGAGGCCGTTTAGAAGCGTCTGTGACAAGTGACTCTGCTGGCGTGGGGTTTGCGTCGCGTTGTGTCACGTTTGCCGCGCGTTGCGTCAGGAGCTGGGGGCTGAAATAGCCTGGAAGGGAGCTAAAAATCCTCCTTGGGGAGCTGCTCATGGCAGCTGAGAGAACACAAGCTCCTTATGTAAAGCTGCTTTAATATTTATGGTAATATCAGAGGCGGTGCATTACCTCATCCATCTTCACTGCACTTCTTGGGCATGGGGAATGGCTTAGTCACTACTCTGGCGACCTTCTCCTGGGTGCTTGCTTGGCATTTATTCCCCCAGCAGCTCAGAGAAAGGGAGAAATGCTGGTTTTCCCCATTGGGAATGGGGAGTTGAGGCACTGGGAATGCTGCTCAGTTGCAGGAGGGGATTGGGTACAAATCCTTCCAGCCCTGACAGATCACTCCACGTGTGACAGAGGGGACAGGCACAGACCCCTGAGGACACATCCCAAAGGACAGGGTGGTCCAAGCTGCATTCCTTAGGGGTTAGATGAGAAGGTGGAAGAGAGTGGGATGGTGAGAGTGCTGGGAAAGGAGCTCCCTCCGCTGCGCCAGAGTCACCTTTGGTGCCAACTGCTGCTTCCTTAGGGGGAGCAAGGGTCTGTCTGTCCTGTGCACGAGGGAATGAGTGCCTTTCTTCCACACAGGCAGGACTGACAAAGAATGGAAGAGGAGATTAGGGGATGAGGGGAGTATTTGAAGACAAGGTGTTTCCTGCCATCTCTGGCTCTTTGTGCACAGCATTGCTCCAGGGCATATATGGTCAGTAGCTGTTTCCAGGATGGATGTTTCCAACTGGAGGACACCTGGAGTGTAGGGATGGACCTTTATTGCAGGATAAATCCTGATACATAACCCCACTGTGCTGTTAAATCCTTCCTTGCTGCCCGTCTCAGTGTGGCAGTCAAGAACCTGACAGAGGGAAAAACCCTGTGGATGAGCTTCCCACTGCACCCCAGACCCACACCCTGGAGCAACAGGGTGACTGACTTTCCCTTCCAAATGGAAGCAGCAGGGGAGGATGAGAGGATTTGGAGCTGGGATGGGGCTGGGCCGTGCTGATGGAGCTGTGCTGTGGCTCAGGTTTGGAGCTGGGATGGGGCTGGTCCCTGCAGGGGGAAGTGGATAAACTTTGAGGTGCCTGGGCTGTGCAGGGTCCCCATTTCTCAGCAAGAAGGTGAGTTTTCCCTCTCTGATTTACCTCATGATCTCCATAGGCTGCACATGATTTTACTAGGGAAAGGGCAGAAGTTTAATGCTTGGTCCATGTGCTGTAGCCACACAAATATCAGAGTGTGTGAGTGGCCCAGTTAACTGATATCCAAGTGACAAAGCAGGTAAATTAATATTTATGCCACGATTAATCCGACCCTCCCTGCTTTAACCTGTGAGCTCGCTTCAATTGTGGGCTCCACTTAGTATTTCTTTGTGTCTCATTGTACCAGATTGAAAAAAAAAACCAAAAAAGGATAAATTGGTCCCAAACCAGAGGAGCAGATTCCTGGGAGTGAATGTGTGCAGCCTCAGCTCTGGATTTATGTAGGACTTGTGCTGACAGAGCAGTATGGATGCTCTCTGGAAGCACAGGAAAAGGTGAGGCAGGTGATATCTACAGAAATATTACAGAATGAGCACTGAGAAGAAAATATTCTTGCACTTGGCCAGGCCCTTGTTTCCCTCCCACGCCCCAAGCCACAGCGGGGTCTGAAGCTGGGTGAGCATCCGGGGTGGTGTTTGTATGGTACAGGATGCCCAAGTGTCTGATACACACTCAGCAAGCCGTGAGAGAGGCACAGTTTGGGCTTTCCAAAAGGAAAGTTTAATTTTACAAAAGGAAAGTTCCTTTTCTAAAAGGGTTTAGTTTCCCAGACTGGGGAATGCAAGCACTGTCCAGCTGCAGTCAATGAGAAATATGGGATTTTATGGTCACCAAGCCTAGTGCAGCGTGAGGAGCTGGGCTGGAAGATCCTTGTGGGTCCCTTCCAACTTGTGATATTCTGTGAGAGTTGTGGAATTCCATGATTTTGGTGCTGCAGTTCCCTCAGTCTGCTCTAGCTGACTGGCACTGGAGCAGCTGGTGGCCACCAAGCAATGGTTGGCAAGGGAGAGCAGGAGTGGGAGGTGTTTCTGTCTTATACTTAGGAGCCATAAGGTGTTGCTCAGCTTTGCTCTGGTCCAAAACCTGTCATTTCTGTGAGATTTCCTCCATTTCTGCCTAAATGGGGATGAAGCCCCATGTTTATCAGCCTCTTTCCCAGAAGAGTCAGCAGCACAGATCATTGCTGCAGTCCCGGGACTTTGTTCCTGTCATTAGAGGAGTGATCTGCCCTCTGAGCCGCTGTGGAAGGAACCTTTGCTGGCTGAGGTTTTTGAGGAGCCTCTTCAGCTCTCGATGCAGACAATGAGCTCTGATTTCACTTAGCAGGCAGAAAGCTCCTGGCAGTCCTGAAGGTCAGCAGGGAGCCAGCAATGCCGGCGGCTCGGATCCCACGCTGCCTCCTGGTTACTCTTTATTTCCCGAGCTCGGAGCTGATGTGGTGCTGAACTGCCAGAGCCTGCTGGCAAAATGCCCGGTGCATTGTCCTCTCCTGCCATCACATGGAAGTGCAGCCTCAGGAGCTCCATCCTCAGCTCACCCTGCCCTGCCAGGTTTGTGGGGTGAGGTTGTTGTGGTGGTTTTTCATCCCCTCAAAGGCCACTTTGTCCCTTTGCTGAATTCCCGTGCTGTTCACCACTTCCCTGAGGAAGATAGCCCCAGCTGATCACCAGCATCCTGTTTGGCTCCAAGGGCAAGTCCAGCAAACCCTGAAAGGAGATGACAGGAGTGAGAGGTCTCTGTCACCAAGAGATCCATCTCTGCAGTAAATCCATGCAGTCAGTTCTCTGTTTTTCACCAGCTGAGGATCTGGCACTTTGTTTTGCTGTTGCTCCACCAAAAGGCTGGCAGAAATAATCCTTTTATCCCTGGTACCTGTGAGAATTGAGAAACTAATGCTGGTTTTCCTGCAGTACTCATCTGGAGGGAGAGTATCACACAAGATCACATTTTAACCCCTTCCTAAATGGACCTTGGGATAGTGCTGCAAAACGGAGGGTGGAGGGTGAGACAGGCAGGGAGGATCTATCCATCTGTTTGCCCATGGAACAAAGTGTTCTCTCCTTACCCAGAAGGAACTGGAACGGTGAGCAAAGGCAAGGTAAGGCTTATTTGGTTGGATGTGAGTTTGTCACCACTGACAAATGGCCTCACACGCACAGCCAGGATGGACTTGGACTACGGAGCCCAGATGTGGCAGCCATAGGTGACAGTCAGTCCAACTTGTTTGATGTTCCTGTTCGATATTAGGAAAAAAATCCTTCCCTGTGGGGGTGCTGAGGCCCTGGCACACATTGACCAGAGAAGCTGTGGCTGCCCCATCCCTGGAAGTGTCCAAGGCCAGGCTGTACAGGGCTTGGAGCCCTCTGATCCAGTGGAAGGTGTCCCTGCCTGTGGCATGATCAAGGTGAGTTTTAAGGTCCCTTCCAACCCAGGCTGTTCTCTGCTTCTGTGATTGTTACACAGGCACAGAGCCTGTAGCAAATTTTGAATGGAGTTCACAGTTCTGAAAGAAGGAGCCAACAGTTTTCCAGTCTTCCTTTCTGTCCTCCTCTGTCACCTCCAGGCAGAGCAGCACTGGCTTGCTCTGTCCTGTCACTCACCTCTCCTTGTTCTGCTTCCTGCTCCAGGTGCTGTACCATGTCCAGGTAGGACACTGCCAGCGTAACAAGCATCCCAAGACAACCCTCTCCCAGGCCTTGAGCTCGGGTGGCTCCTCTGCTTCCTGCAGCAGCCGGGCGAGGGAGAAGAGCTGGGATAGCCCCACGTATCCATCGCTGCCCACAGCACCCCTAGGATGGATTCCAAAGGCAACGTCCGAAGCGGAAACAAACCCGACGCCAAGGCCGCCAGCTCCGGGAAGCCGGAAAAACCCAACCCCGGGCCTGCCACGAATGCAGACAAGAAGGAGGCTCCCAAAGAGCAGCCTGCTCCTGCCACGGCCACCAAGAAGGCGGGAGGTGACGCCGCCATCGCCAACAACCACAGCAACCTGAAACCCAGCCCCGCCGCCACGGAGACGCAGGAGGCCAGCGGGCAGTCCCCTGACTCTGACCACAAGGGAAACAGCTCCGAGGAGTCCCCGGGCAGCTTCTTCGACAACATGAAGCCCTTGATCATCGTCGGAGGAGTGGCGGTGGCCGCGCTGGCTGTGATTGTGGGAGTGGCATTCCTAGCCCGGAAAAAATGAAGACCGAGACGGGGTGGGGATGAGAAACCCAGCCCAGCTGTACAGCTCCTTTTGAGACAAATGCATGCAGAGAAATTCTATACATAGCTATATATATAGAGAGAGCGAGCTAGATAGGTCAACAACAAACACCAACTGCAACTCCAGGGTCTTGTTCAAGACAACTGTGCCAGTCTGACCCGCTGTGGGTAACTCCATGCACTCAGTGTGTTCTTTCATGTAATATATCGTGGCTTATACCGCTGTGTATAGATTACAGCTTCTCCTGATCGGTGTAAATGACGGTGTCCCCTCCCCTCCCCTGCTGTCCTCCCTGGGAGACACCCCTCGTCCCCCACCCTGCAGTCCCGTTTTCAAGTCCAAAGTGTTCTACGTCCCATTCGGAGTCCCAATTTGTGTTTTGGTTTCTGTTTGGTTCTGTTTTAACTTGGGCTGTGGTAAAGAAGATGGAAGGGGAGTGCTAAGGCCTGGCTTGCCTGTCACGCTGGGCTGGGGGTGTTTCTCCAGCCCCCTGGGACAAGGGAAGCGCAGGGGCAGTGGCAGGGAAGGGGCAGCTCCCTGACCCAACAGCCACAGGCGATCCCTAATCGGTGTCTGTGTATCTGCCCCTCGTCATCCCACCTTGGAACCCCCACCTGGGAAGTGCTCCGGAGGAACCAGGGCAGCTGCGGCGCGGCAGAGCCGAGTGTGAGCCTGGGATGTCACATCAGGTCACTCTTCTGGCTGAGCTGCCAACGGGACAGTGACCAGAGGGCTGTGCTGTGGCCCAGAGAAGTCCCATTGCAGCCTTCAGGATCCCAGGGCTCGCCAGGGTCACGTGGGCAGCGTTTGGAATAGAGAGACTTTGTTTTGGATCTAGTATTTCCTAAAGTTAGGCTGGGCTTTGCAGGGTGCTGTGGGCTCAGACCAAGCTCCCTCGAGGTTGGCTGGACTATTGGTGTTCATTTCTTTGGGCTTTGGATAAGGCCTTTCACTGAAGTTTTCCCCACTGAAGGCTGTGGTCTCTCAGCACATGGGAAGACAGGAAAAAGGGGAGACATGAGCTGGTGTTAGGGATCCCATGACAGTAACACTGACCTACCTGCTTTTATACCAGGGAAATCCCTTTCAAGGGCACTGGAGTCTGTCCTGGGTGGATTTCTTACCTCCCTCTTGTGACAGTAGTAGCAGGGATTTGTAACTCCTCCACACTTTGGAAATGGAAACAAATTCCCAGCCCTCAGGAGCAGCCTGATTTAATGGGTGAGTACCTTGGCACTAAAGCCAGACCTTGTGAGGAGGAGGAGAGAGGGTGTTTAGTGCTTTGGCCGATGCTCAGCGCTAAACAGCAAGAGGTGAGGAGCTCTGCCTCTGAAAGCTTCCATTAGGCGTCTCTTGGCTGCTGCAAAACAGTGTTCTAAAGACCCCTTACATTTTGGGTTTAAGTTGGGTCAGAGATTAGGTGAGGTCCAGTGGGAGCTCGGCAGCAGGCACAGCCCATGGGCAGGGGCAGCAGTGATGAGTAGAAAGGGGCTGTGACACAGTGGGGTGAGTTCTGTGACAGAGCCCATTGTGCACGTTTAACTGGGATGGATGGATGGATGGATGGATGGATGGATGGATGGATGGATGGATGAATTCAGGGGCTGCAGGAACAGAGGGAGGTGTGCATTCCTCAGGTGCTGCCTGTGCAGTGTCTGCCTCTGGCACAGTCCCTGGATGGGATGGTGTGGGGGTATAACCTGACCTGGCAATTCTGCTCTTGGCTCATGTCTGTCTTATTTACCTCCAAACCTGACCTGCTGAATGCACATGGTCTTGGAATGCATGGCTGCTCCTATGGTGAGCTCAGAAAATATTCCCAAAGGTGTATGGCCTCTGGGAATATCAGACACTGTGTTGTAGTGCAGCTGGAAGTTGATGCCTCCACCTTTGCCAGCACAGAGACAGGAGCAGGCGTGTTGGGCTCACAGGAGTTTTGGGAAGCAGGGCTACAGCTCCAGGTGAGATCCTGGCAGCCTAAAACACACTTGGCATGAGCTGTGGATGTGTTCCCAGCAGCAGTGTGTCAGTTACAGCCTGGGGGAGGGTTAGAAGCAGAAGGGTCCTCCTCTCCCCTCAGAAGCACAACTTTGCAGGGAAATCTTCACAGGGAGTTTTGCTAATGTTGCTCAGAAGGAAGAGAAATCACCGCCTCCTGCTCTGGTTCATGTTTTGCCAAGTAGGGTAATGATTTTCAGACAGTGACTTCTGTTTCCAAGAGATGTTTCTACCTTTCCTGCCCCCTCCCTGCCTCTCAGCTCTGGCCTAGGATTGTTTTCAGCAGTGTGTGACGTTAGGTACAGCACCTATCTGTTCTGCCCTGAGCAGCATAGATAGATCAGAGGAGGAAAGTGAAGCACCTGCTCCACTCGAGTCTCCAGTTTTACTTTCTAAAGTATTTTTATTTCCTTGTCTTCACCTTTGGCAACAGAAGAGGGGAAAAACAGTTCTCAGCCAACGGCCTTAACCTTTTCTCCATCTCCAAACCCTGCCTGCCCTTAGAGCACTCAGATGCAAGGCCACCAATTTCATCCAGAAACACCACGGAGGTGGTGATGGGGCTGCAGCTCCTCATCGGGGCACGTCGCTCATTGGAGCCCTCCCTGCTCGGCAAACCTGGTATGTTCTGTTTGTGAGGGGTTTTTGATCGTGGTCTGTCCTGTTCCCAAGGGATTTTCCACTTCCTGTGATCACTTCACAGTCTGCTGTCGAGGTTCAGCACCTGGAACCCACCTCTTTGGCAGTTTGTTTTGGAAAACACCTGTCTGTGTCCGTGTGTGTGTGTGCCTTGGAGCACATCCAGTGTGTGTGTGTACAAACCTTTGTGTTGCATTGCTGCAGTCTGGGAGGGGGAGAGAATCCAAGCTGGAGATGCCCCTTCCTCCGTTCCCTGCATTCACACCAAGTGTCCATGATGTCTTTTCTGTGCCGTTCCCACCACGCCGTGCAGCTCCTGAATTCCTTTCCAGCCCTGGTTTCTCCTCAGTGCAAGGGATGTCTGGCTGGTGAAGTGCTGAGTGTGTGGTGTGCTCGGAGCCCCGAGCCACTGCTCCCCCCACCCTGGGTAGTCCTGTGGGCTCTTTGCTTTAAAACGAGGCACTTTTAGACCACCCTGCACTGTGCTGTAGCGCTTTTCCAAGCGTGGCTCTAGTGCTGAGCCGGGCAGACGCAGCGTAGATGCCACAGCGTGCCGCAGCCCTGACTTGCAAACAGCTCCTGTCCTGCCTTACCGTGCCAGGCTGTGCAGTGCTTTCCTTCTGAGCCAAAAATGTCCAGCGAGCACCAGGCCGAGGGAGCAAATCCCCCTCTCTCAGCCCCAAATCTGTCGAAGCAGAAGGCTTTAATGACTGACCTCGCTGTGCTAAATAAATAGTTGTCTTTTCTCGTACTGAGCACACGCCGTTATTTGCTTGATGTCCTTCTTTGTGTGGTTTTTGTGGTATGAAGTCCTTCCAGTGACATCTCCATGGGGAGAGTGAATTAACACTTAAAACTAACCAGAGTCTGTGCTTGGGGTTTGAAGAGATCTAGATTGCTAGTTTACTCTTTTGATCAAGTCGATAAATTAAATATTGGCAAAACTGGTTTCAGACCTTTCAGCTTATCACCAAAACTCTCGGTTGAATCACTGCACCCGATCTCAACCTCTTTTTAGGGAATCATAAATTTTAGTTGAATATAAAGATGTCATTTTGCTGTCTTGGACAACTCAGTAGAAGGTTTTTGCTGCTTCTATTTTAAGAGAGATGAAATGGATTATGCTTCTGCTTCCTCTTCCTACTGATTTAATACCCTGTAGATAAGTCCTGTTATTCCTAACAGTGCTGCAGCAGGATGAAAACAAATCTGGCAGCCAGGGGATTGTGCAGCAGCATTTTTGGGAGGGTAAGAATTCATTTCTGTTTGCCTGGGGCTCACTGAAAGCACTCAACAGTCACTTGCCCTGAAGCATTTCTTAGGGGGCTGGGTGATTAACTGAACATCTATTTGTGTCTCTGATGGACTAAACTTTGAAGGTTGAGCCACAGAATACTGAAAACAAGGAGAGTTTTTCCATTGGCTTCACCTTGCTCTGGCCTTTGAGTTCTTGTTGGCACCAGGGATATGATCACAGGTCCTCATAAAATCATCTCAATTACACATTTATTTTTCAATTGACACAAAAGTTCCTTAGACTGAGCGTAAGGGAAGTCTCTTCTCTGAGGCAGCCTTGCTTATGCTGGCATCAGGATTTGTGTATGAACAACAGCAGTGCAACCAAAAACCCCTGGAGCTGGTGAGAGATGATTTATGCCTTAAAATATTCCCTACTTTTCCTGGAAACGCTACTGGGGTTTAAAATTCAGTGGCCTTCTAACTATTCTTAGAATTGGTTGAAAATAGCAGTGCTGAAGATTGGAGAGGAAAATGATTCTTTGATAAGTAAACCAAAAAAGAACAAAATGAAAAAATATGTTTGAAAGGTGAAATTCTTGGAATTTCAATCAGCTCCATGGAAAGCTTCAAGTCGGTGAAGATTCTGAGAAGGTGCAAGGAACAGAGCAGAGAACTGGAGGGAAAAAACAATATTTAATTATCTTAATAGCTTTGGTAAGGACATGCTAACTTTTATATCCTCTTTCCCCCTTTTTTTTCCCTCAGAAAAAGGCAAAAATTACAAGCTCTGGTGCCATGCAAATTAACCTCTGCTAATTGCCTTTTCCAGATTAATTCCTGCTGGCTCTGAGCAATGTTAAGGGGTTAGAAAAATACCTGAAGTTTTCTATAACCAACTTTGCATGATTCAGGGGAATTGCCAGGACATCAGGAGGGGCTGTGTTCTCTTTTCACGTTATGACAAGGACTGCAAGTGCAGCCTGCTCGTGCTTCCATCCTCCTGGTCCATTCTCCATGCTGGAGCAGGAATGCTGATTCCCTTCCCAGGCCTTGCAGCATCACATCTCATTCATGAGCTGGCTGCAGTTCTGCTGCACAGGTTGGGCATTTCTCACCACAAAGAGGAATTGGCTTTGATCTGGAGCATAACAGTTCTGCATTCCAGTAAATTCTCACTGCAGGACACTGGAATTGGGAATATTTCTGCTATTTACACTGGAGGTATTTGATCCTTTACTCTTTTGGGGAGAAGTCTGCTGATGCTGAGGATTTGTTGGCACATTTTGGGTCTTATGGGTGATAGTTGGCTGACAGCCCCAAAAAGCCTTGGAGCCTGTGGCCCCATCCAGCAACCCTCAAGGGGGGTTTAATCCACTGAATCAAGTGGGTTTATGATGACTTCTTCCTCTTCTTTTTGAGACCATCAGTCCAGCCTTATAACCTGCTTTCCTTTTAAATTCCCTAATTCCTGGGATGTCTGTTCACCCCAGATCTTCAGCTGCTACAAACCATGGGGTTCCATTGGTTTCTGATCTGATTCATTGCTTGTTCTTTCCTCCTTCTTTGGCCACTGCACCGTATCCCTTTTCTTTCTCTACTTTCTTCCTGGACAGCTCTGCAGATGTGGCCTTTCCATAGCCCAAGGCTGGGGCAGATTTTGTTTTGTCTAAGGCAGGTTTTGGGTGGTCCCCCAAAAAATATAGGCAGTTCTGGGCCCCAGACTGTGTGTCACAGCAGGGAATGTGTGAAGCTTTGATCTACCCTCACTTTTGAGGGTCTAAGTCTGCAAGAGGCTGAGTGCTTGTCTGCCACAGGATTTGTGATGGATGACAAATGCCCAGGAAGGTCTTGTTCTTGTCCTTCCCTGTCACTCAGGTGTGAGATGTTCTGGCTGCTTGAGAGGGGCTGGCATGGTGTGAGCACACACTGCA